TAAAGTTGGTCGGGCTGCTGAATCGTGTAAAGCTAACTCAAATATTGGCAAGATCAGTGCCCGCGTTAAGGCCAGGTGTAAAAACACATGGTTGTAACTGTGAGTGTGCCGGTAGGAAAGAGAGGAGTGGAGGTGTGGTTATTAAAATGGATGGTAGGAAAGAGAGGAGTGGAGGTGTGGTTATTAAAATGGATGGTCACTAAACGTGCAGTGGCTGCTATAAATAAACCAAGAAACAGCAGTAATCTTTGTACTCCTTGCTGGCTGTTTGACTCGGCTGTGGTAGGTGGCCCTGGTACCACTTCAATGTCCTACTGAAAGGAGAGTCAGCTGCTGATCATTTTGGCTGGTCTGTTGTGAAATAGAAAGGTCCCTCCTCAGACCACGTTACTCCTTCTGAGTTGCACCTACCACGCAGCCGTAGTGCCAAACGCAAGCCCGGAATGTGCAAGCACGGCCTGGCACAACGCAAAGCCTTTCACCCTTTACTGTAGAGCTGTGAACACCGAAACCTATAGTGTGATTTTGGCAGATCTACAAATGAAATGTTAGCAATTAACATCCTGTCCCCTTTCCGTTCCCCCCTGCGCCTCCCTCCTCCCACATGCATTTTCCCTCACTCCCTTTACGTTGTCCCAGCCGAGCTGGCAGCTGGCACTGGAAGCTGTGAGCTCACTCCCGGCCGGCATGCTGGCCTAGGAATAGAATAGCTCAGCCTCCGCCGAAGCTGCTCCGTGCTTAAGGATGTTGCCAGCCACCGAGATTTAACGGCTCTGCAGCAACAACTGGATATATGCAGATAAAATAAACACGTGCCTAGACTCTCTCTCTGAAATTTAAGTTTTTCAAGGCAAAAGAAAGAGGTGAAGTGCCTGAGCTTACGATCTCAGTGTTGAGAGTCCTCTAGGCAAGTGTTTAAGCAAAGACAGGCTTTCCCTTTAAAGCGAAAGGGACTCTTGCCTTCAGATCGGCTCTTAAAAATGGCCTTCCAACAATAATAATCCCCGTGCTAAACTTACATTCAGACGCCTCGTTGTGAGCTGTGACTCACGCTTTGAAAGTGTCGTATCTTTCCTAGAAAGATAGGATAGCATTGTTATCGCCAGATGGGGAGTCTCAGGATGGGAGATGCTGCTCTGAGCTCCCAAAAGCATCCGCTAAATATTTGTTGGAAACTCAAGACAGTTATGTTTTATTTTCAGTGTGTCGGAAGCCCCACAGCACTTCTGAATAGCAGCACCGAGTTATGTTAAAATCAAATGTAAGGGATGTGTTTGAAAATGTAGATCCAGAATGTCTTTCCCAAATTAAAAGTTAAATGGCAGATCAAAGTAAAGAACCCAAACCCAACCAACTTTGAGAGGTTCTCTGAAGCTTCAGTTTTTGATATCTTAAAAGCACATTTTCATGAAGACTACTGACCTAGAGAGACTCTTGCTAAATATTATGTGGTCAAGTCAAAATCCCTTTTTCCCGGGTTAAGAGTCAGTAGATATCCTTCAGTTTGTGACCGAGTTCTCTCTGAATTTTACTTATTTATGATTTCTTTGAGGTATGGCGACATCTTTCAATGTTATCCAAACATCACCAGCTAAAAAGGCAACCCTGAACACAGGCAATAATTATTGGTCTTCCAGCACAACGTTATTGCATATCCTCTTTACTTCCTGACTTCATCTTAAGATGAGTTGTGCACCTGTGCTCATTTGAGTATGATATACTCTACCGCTGTACTGCGGGGGGCAAGAGTAAGGGAATGGGACAACTGGGTAAGGTGGCATGAGCTGGCAGAGTTTTTCTGATAGAGAACATAGGAGACTCTGGGATTTTTTGGCAGGTCCATAGTCAGACTTCTTGATTGAAATCGCCTTCGCAAAGAGCTCTTTATATTTTGGTAAATATGAAAAGTATAAAAACTGTGCTGTTTTTCACTTACAGCCTCATTTCTGATTCATCCTCCAAACTACATCTTAAAACAAACTAAATATAATTTAGACTAGAGTACTGCCTCTGTCGCACAGGCGTACAACGCAAAAGGACTTAGAATGTGTGTTAGGGTCTGATCCAAAGCTCTGTGTTAGCAGGCACCCTATTGCTGATTTCAGTAAGCTTTGTTCCAGTTCCTTTATTGAGAACACATGGACAAAGTGGACGTAAAACTTACTTCAGCAATACCGAGGTTTTGTCAGTCCCAGGCATTCAAAATGATGAGTCAGCTATTCCTATCCGCAGACAGGACTGCCTAAAAAAAACCTAAGGAATCAAACCTAAAGGTTTGAGACTTTTTATTTTGCCCTTTGCTGTGAATTTTCTTTAAGCCTTTGGGCTTCATGTATTCAAGATTTCTCTATATCTGTGGGGGACTAGAAATTTATCTTTCATTTAAAGGTGAAAAGGATGTGATTTTTGTTTATGTCATCGTGAGACTCCAGGAACCTGGGCTTTACGAAATAATATAAAGCACACTGATTCCAAATCATGCCGTTTTATTGGGAATTATAAAAACCAACTTTACTGAATGTATGCTTTGGGACAAAGCCCCAGGACTTTTTTTAAAACCTCCAAATTAGCAGTTACATTTCTAACAGAACTGCCCGTCCTTTAATTAGAAAAAATGCAAAATGAGCGCAGAGAGGAGTGGAATTTTGTCTTTTTACCGCTCTGTTCTGTGGTTTTATAAGCAGTCTCCTGGTTTGGACTGGGGACTGGATTATTTGTGTTAAGAAAAATTTGTCTGAATGCTACATGATGCTTTCAGCAGTTCTGAGGAGGTTGTGTCATTTGACATGTTAGCAGCTACTGTCCTCCATCTGTTTTAATCCTGCTCTGTGCTGCATCCATGTTGTGGCACGTGTGCACTAATTCTTTGTGATGGCTGGCACTCGCTGGCGTGTGTATAAAAATGCAGGTGGCAGCATTATTCTCCAGAGCAAAAGAACATCTATTGGCATCCTAGGTGAGCTTATTGCTTCAGATGAATAAAACAGACTGGCAGTGCCTCAGGCAGCTTGCGCTTTAAGTCAGATGTAGCCATGAATGCTGAAAGATCATCTGTAGGACTTAATGCAAGTTCCTTGCTGGTCTGATTTGCAGTTGGGATGCAGTGGCAGAGTCAAAAAGGGATGGATGCCAGGCGTGATCTGGGCTGCATCTTCAGTTACGGCCAACAGATAGCCTAGCCACGGGCAGTGAGATGGCTTACATATTCCTCACTTAAGAAAGTAAAACCGTCGCAAGTTTTTCAATGGCCTTAACATCTGCTCCAGTGAAATTGTTGAGTGTTTTACTGCGTTCCTCAATGGAAGCTGTTAGCCCTGACAAATCGGGACGTGTCATAAAACAAGGTGCAGAAGGCTCTTAGGAACTCCTTAATTCCAGAAACTCTTTCAACATGATGTGTTTATTCAGTGTGCACGTGATGGCACCTGTACCGTGGCACTTTGTCTTTCAAGAAGTTGTATGATGGGAATTAATCTTGAGGAGTCAGTGTGAAGGCCTAGTCTTCTATCTTAAAAAGCTGTTGCTCAACACTGGACTGAAGAATGTGCTTTTGGGGTTTATTTGTAAAAAGTGAAACGGAATGGGACACCTGTCTGATCAGTCTTTTTTGTCTAGGCAGGACTTACATAGTAAATGAAAAGACATATCTGATATGACATGGATAACTATATTAAACCATCTCTATGCCATAGTCTGTTTTCCCTGCTAGAACAGATTTCTTGATGGCCATATTCTGTAAAAATAAAGTGAAAGAACACATCTTTCTGAAGAGCAGGTTCTGCAGAGGATTTGACCAGATCCTCTGTGCCAGGGTGAGTTTTATTTTTTCCCTTTGATTGCCCAAATCTGAAGGAATGGAAAATCCCGATTGTTCATGGCTGCAGTCACCAAAACTGGGGTGAATTCCTTGGCCAGAGAAAGTGGAAATCCTGTGTGGGAGGAGTGCTGTTCTTAAGGTCACTGACAGCGAGAAAGAAACTGTCAGGAACGCGGCAGAGCCTTGTGATTTCTCATGGGTAAAGACTGAAATGGGCTTGTCCATGGCAGCTGCTCTGCCACTTCTTAGGGGCTCCATAGTGGATAAGCAAGTGGTATAAGGTGTTTAAATGAAATTGTGCTTGCTGGTACTACTTGCAGTCAGTTAAATCCATGTTCTGTTGTTACAGATGCTAAAATATTAAGTCTCACAGAGAAAATTCAGGGACTTTCACTTTTAGAAAACCACAAAGAAGTCAGCAAGTTGAAGTTTCTGTGGTGATAGAGGAGAGAGAGAGGGAGTGTTCTGTTGAGACTGTCTAGGAAAATGTTTAGCATCACCACATGGCAAGAATGGCAAGACGTAGGATTTGAACAGTATTAATCTCACATTTAGTCTCACATTAAGACTGGGATCAATTCTGATCACTTCAAGGCAATTTTGTGTATAGTTAAAGGAATATTCTGTCCTGCTTGCCTTTAATGCTCTAAAATCCATCTAACTAGGCTCCATCTTCCAGCTACTTATTTCTCTATATATGGAGAAGCTTTTCAGACATGTAAGCAGCTGCACAGTCCTCAAATATGCCAGAAGGAAAGTTTTGTCAAAAAAAAAAAAGGTAATTCACAAACCCTGGGCTTTTTCAATGTATAATTCATACCTCCTTTGAACAGTCCTCCTCACAGGAATTTAGAGATGGACTTAGATCAGCTTACTTCATTTTTAGAATACAAAGGAAGAGCACTTATCCTGTATTCTTGCAGCCTTTTCTATAAATTAAAAATAGATGCTGGGCCCAAATCGGCAGCTTTTTGCACTCCCTGGGAAACCTGTGCGAACAAGCCACAACAGGACAATTCTGCTTTCTTTAGCAATGCAAGCTCTATCCCCAGAAGCCTGTGAAGAGACAGAGGGTCTGTAGTACACTTTTCCCCTGCAGCCAGGGAATAATCGCCATGTCTTGTTTTGAGTCTTCAGAAGCTTGTGGCTACAGATGTAGGTGACTGAAAAATCAAACGTAGTGATGAGTGGAATAGGGCTTGGATTGCAGAACTGGACAAGCAGTTGTTTTATGGCATTGCTGCGTCAGTCCAAATTGCCGCTTGCCAAATGGTCCTGCATTAGCGGTGCCTTGCGAGTGGCAGTGCCAGGAAGCCAGCGTCCTGGGGACGCTCCACTCTCCTTCCCTGCAAAGGGTTATGATGTTATACAGCCCAGACTGAAAATATTTGGAGTGTTTCTAGCCAGGGAAGCAATTTGTGCTTGGCATAGGGCAGTACAGACCACTTTCCTCTCTCTTGGTAGGCACTTGCTCTTGGAGGCTTTGCCTGGTGTTTACGGCAAAGCTGCAGATCAGCCTTTAATTCCAAATAATCTGAGGGAGACGGTAGGATGCGTCCACTGGGGTAACTATGAGCTGCTACTAAGGCCCCAGGGCACGTTAGATACAACAGTTATTATGGTTCACTCGTTATGTTTTCTGAAATATTACAGGGGGCGGTCCGAAATGGAAATTTATTTTCAGGGAGGAAAACTATGAAAAATGCATACTTGAAGGATAGCTTTGAGATGCACTTCAAAAATTAAAGCACGGTGATTCATACTGAGAGAGGACTTTCGACTGTCGTTACCAAGCCCCACTGTGAAATGAGTTACAACTTGGACTTTTAGCTGGAGTTTTGCTCTGCAGAAACCGGCTGGTTTCGTATGTGTGCCTCACTGAAACCCTTTGAGCAGCAGCAGTCATTACCCTTCACTGCATGAAGGTTGGATTCCTCCTGCAACTCTGCTTGATGTCTATTTTTGGCTTCCCCTCTAAAAACAGATGGCTGGGAGTGAGAACCTCCTCTTGCGATTGCTGTTGTAAGCTATGAAAGCAACAGATGGTTGCTAACACAGAGATCATAAACTTAGAGTTGTCGAGCTCATTTTTCTTCCAGAGTGGTGCAAAATTTATTTTATTCTGCCCTCCCCACCGCCACTTCTCAGAATAAAAAAGAAATAGGCTTATCTTTTTGTTTATAAGAGTATATCAGTATAACTGGAGATGTATAGCTGAAATTTCTTTCCTAAGCTGCAAAACATATAAAATAATTAACTACTTTAGTTCCATCAGAGTACAAAACACTGGGCCTGAATTAAAACGTAAGCATGACACACCTTGCTCAGGGTCCCTGCCACTGATGTTACTGACATACCAGAATTTGATTTCTCCTGTTTTCTCAAAGATGCTAGCTCTCATATTTGCAAGCAAAAAACCCAAACAGATCTAGGTTAATGTCTTACTCACTGCCTGTAACAGCAGATCTTAGAGGTGTAAATTTCCCCAGAGGTGGTCTTGGTCATGGGAAGGTATTGACAGCCAGGGTGTCCTCTAATTGACTTTCATCTCTCCAAATTGGATGGAGGGACTCTAATACCGTTCCAGAGGTGAAAGAGGCCTGTGGTCTCACAGTACTGAGGGAAGGGTAAGGACCTCTGTCCTCATCACTTAACTTGGGCAGGGAGGAGTGCGATACAATAAATCAAGGGAGCTACAAGGGCTCTGGTACTATGGGATCTCAGTATGCCTTCACCTCTTACATCAGTTTTCTAACATATACAAAGAAATAATGCTTTTTGTGGGTCAAGAAGGTTGTCCAGAAATTATTAGACTTCACTTTGTCTTATTGTTTATTTTTTAAAAAATATCCCACTGCATATAAGCTATATACATCAAAGGCTTTTGGAGTTCTTTGCAAAGACTAATGCATTATTAAGTTAGCAAACCCCTATGGGGCACCCTAACAGATGGGAAGATGCACGTAGGGAGAGGATAATAATTTGCTCAGGGCTACATATTGTGTTGGTGGCAGAGTAAGGAATGTAGTTTGTGTGTTTTTAACTATGTCTCTCAGTTGATACCCGTGGAATTGGGCAAAAGTATTAGTTCAGAATCAATTGTACAACTTGAAATACGGCACTGCATTGTGTTTTTAGTCTGAGCAAACCCTTGACACAAAGAAGACTACAATGCTGCAGAATTGCAATACCATTCTTCAGTCTGCATACAAAAAGTTCTTCAAGACCTCTTTTTCGAGCAAGTAAATGTCGGGAAAAGAAATAGACAAATTTTCCACATGTTAAAACAAATCCAGCTGAACATCCAAAATACAGTGAAAATCAGTGATTCGATATTCAAGTACAAGGCAGCAGAAAATCTCAGAGAGGCAGATTATCAGGTACTATAACAGAAAAAGAGACCTAAAGGAGAGATTTTAAGGAGCTAAGCTAAAGGCAATGCTAGACCTACCTGCAGAATATCAAAACTAGGGCAAAGTGAAAATTTAAAAGTATGTATTTCCATTCTCCTCTCTTAAAACAAAAAACTCAAACAGTGCTTCTCAGTCTGTAGTTGAGAAGCCAAGTCGAGTTATTAGTTCCTCTATCTCATCTCCTTTCCCATGTCTGTTCCCTATTGGCAGCTGTTCTGGGTCACCACAGAGACGCTAGGTAAATGATGGAAGGTCCTGTTGAAATGTCGTATCTTTTATAGGGATCACAGCTCCATATAACATTAATTAAGCCAACATACTTGCATCCAACTTGTTTAAAGTTATTACAACTCTCATGTTTTCAGCACGTGTTTCTATCTGCATTCATCTGCTTCAGCAAACAGCAAACAATTGTGTTTGAAAGTCCATAGTATGATGGAGAATGAGCCATTTCACTACAGCCTGAAGTTTTTGAGACTTGTACTGCATATTTTGATCCTTAGTGGCTTTCTTGCCCATCTTATTAATATTCTTAAAATATTTCAGTTAAATTCTTTAAATATTTTTAATGCCTAAATACACACCCACTGCCTCTCCCAATTAGATTGGAAGTCTAATTGCTGTACAGCGTGGTGTGTACATGCACTCAAACTGGAATTTATGTTGACTGGCTAGTATAATTAGATTTTGCCATTGCATTTAATTTTAGAATAAACCACATTTATTTCCCTTACACTAGATTCAGGAAATAAATTACAGTTGAAGCAATCAGATTTTTCCAGGCTTCTCTAATATTCAGTCTAAAGTCATTTGGTATTTCAGATTCTACTACCAAGTGCAGCAGTTATGTAGACTCAATACATCAGAGAAAGTTTTCAGGTTTGATCGTTAATTTTGAGAGGCTGTTGGGGTGCAGAAGGAGTCTCTGAGCACAGATGGTCATCTGGGTGCTGGTAACATTTAAGCCAAGGTGTCTCTTAGGAGGACCTAGGACCGGACTAATCATGTGGTAGGAGGCTTTATTAGAATTACACCCGCCATTATTAGTATCAATACAAACCTAATTCTTGTAGCATAGACAAGGTTTAAAGAAGAGTCTGACAGCACTGACTTGTGTCAAGCAGCAGGATTGGTGGATATAGACAAATTCTCTGTTAATTTAAGTAAGCATAAACGCAGCAAAGTCACTGTAATAAATACCACGAACATCTTTGGCTGTGGTACATGATGTATCCAATCACACTGTACTTGCCCTCATTGTAACTTTTTAATTACACAGGATGGACCCACAGCTTGCCCAGTGTAGATGAGACAGAGTATAAAACAAAAGGCATATAAATAGATGCAGGGGCAGGAAAGGAGTTCAGCAACGCACACGCCTTAAAATGCGGTAACGTTGCTCGCTCCCAGATGAGTGCTTACGAATACATGGGAAGTAAGGTGCAGTACCAAGATGTGGCTAAATGTACAAGGATTTGTATCCAATGGGACTTAAACTAAATATGAAAGTTTTGAAGTAAACCATGCAAACGTAACTTGGCTTTGAGATCAGAAAATGGTTAGTATTTGCTATAAATAAAAGGTCTGTCTGTAATTTGAAATGGATTAACTAAGAGGTATTTTAAGGTCAGTGCACTAACAGTAATTTCTGGTGACAATGAAATGTTTTCTTCATTCCAATATTTAATACAGATGGTATTCTAATTATTGGAACCCAGGTGGGAGGTTTTTAGAAAATGTTAAAGTGTACTGAAGGCAACTCTTTGGTAGTAGGAATAAATTATGACTTTAAACTAGATTTATTTTTTTTAAAGAAAACTTTTTCAGTAATACCTTGAATATGATTTAGTAGAGCTGAATTTGAAAGCCACTGACAGATCTGCCTGATTGTTCTTGCGTGCAGATTTTGTACTCCAGGGACCAGTGTAATTTGCAGTTGGGAAGCTTCTTTCAGAATTTTGATCTCCACCCTAGAAAACAGAGTGGCAACCCTGAGGAGGATCTAACTACATTCAGTTGTAGAAGTGAAACGTAAAATACATGCTTAAAAAAAGAACTGAATGTTAAATAGTTTCAAGTTGCTGTTGTGATTTTTTTTTAAAAGTTATTTCTGCCTTCTGTGACGAACATCCACAGATGTGGAAAAGACATGGTTACTAGTTTTTTCTTTTGAAACAGGATAGGAGCCTGACACTAGCAGGGAGACAAGTGATCTTCAAAAAGGCCTGTCAAATGTTGTAGTTTCACAGTAGTGTCAGTTATCATAGTTGTGAAATTGGGAGCCCATGTTTACAGCTAAGCATGCTCTAGCTTATTGACAAAACCGACTCTACAGAGTATACAAGTCTGGCAGTAGAGCATACAATCGAAATGGCACATGAGAATAATGATTACAAATAAGAATATTGTGTAAATAGACACTGAAGAGTATTGGCCACTTGGCCTCCTTGCTAGTGCAGAACCTCCACTAGTGCTTGTTTTCGTCTTTTCTCCGTTTCACATGAGGGTAACAGCCCTCTTCCCGTAGCTGTTGACTTCCAAGTGAAAAGATGGGTCCAAGAGAAACTGTTCTGAGGAAGTTCTCACATGTCTTCTGAAATTCTAGTGACACCACCTTTAAAACTTAACAATTAATCAATTCAGGGCTTTTTTGAGGCTGCAACTGTAGATTAATAATCTGGTAATGCGACAGCTGTCAAGGAAACAAAAATTTAATTTTCTGGTTCATTTCAAACATGGAGTTGAATTACATTTCCGTCTCTACATTTAATGAAGAAATCGTTCCAATACTTGTGAGATTTAATTAAGATGGGGAGCTTGCATGGGGAAGAGGGAGGCTGGTATAGAAGCTATAGTAAAATGATGTTTATTGTGGGAGAGAAGGCATAAAACCAGCATTCTTTGCTGTGTCTGCAATGCCTGGGCTCAGTCTTAGTTATCTGTTGTGGTTTGTTTGTTTGTTTGTTTTGCTTTTTTGTTTGTTTGTTTTTTAAAAAGCTTGAGGTAGGAATGGTAGGGCATTGGTTCACTGCCATAGACCAAAGGAAGCCTTGCAGAGAGAAGCTGGGGCATGCTCCCTCTTGCTCTTAGCTAAGAAATATGGCAAAATCCACTTTCTTTCTCTCTTTGCTAGAGGGACTCTTGTTTTACAGTAGGGACAATGCTCCTAGGTTCCTCTGTTGCCAGTGTATTGTATGCCCTGGCAGTAGGACTTGTGGCTTTAAATGCTATGGCTCTAAATAACCCAAATAATCTTTTCACACTGTACCACCCTCTCCCTCCCACCATTACTGTTCCCCAATTCCGTTCTTGATCTTTAATTTTTGTTCCTTCCCCACTCTGTGCTGGGCTTGCTTACAGAAAGCAGAGTCTGGACAAAAGAGGTCCCTTCTGATCCTTACTTTGTCTGTCCTGAACATTAGCAACAGGACAGTAAGGTTTGTAAAAGACAGAAATAAAATTCGAAGGAGGGACTTAAATTATCACCTTTACATATGATCCAAAAGAGAACATTTAATTTAAGTGTGTTAAATAGCCTTAATCTAGCCGAGCTTTGTATAACCTGGATGGCTCCATAGCAGTCACATCTGCTTGCTTCTCTTTGGTCGAACAAATGACAACCTTTGATATGCAAGTATGCTTGAATCATAAGCTTTTCTTTTTTTAATTTAAGTGAAAACTTTTTAAAGGGTAGTCTTCTGTGTAATCTTGTACAGACGTTAAGTTTCTATCAGTATTAACACAAAGGGTATTTCTATATCTATATTCACATGTAATTACCTCATATGGAGATTTTGCTCTAACAGCCACACTAACTTGGGATAGTTGTAAACGTTCAGACAGTTTGCTTCAACAAAATTCCTGAAACATGAATAGTTTCTGACTATAACTGTTAAAATTAACAAAATACAAGCAACAATTTAATACTGCAGGTAACAGAATTTTTCTTTCTCAGGAAGACTATGATCGTCTGAGACCTTTATCTTATCCTATGACCGATGTCTTCCTTATCTGCTTCTCAGTGGTAAACCCTGCTTCATTTCAAAATGTGAAGGAAGAGTGGGTACCGGAGTTGAAGGAATATGCACCTAATGTTCCCTTTTTACTAGTAGGAACACAGGTATATCTGCTTCTGTTCTACTTTACGTAAACAATTCAGGTCATTGTATGGTGCCTATTCTTTGGGCTGGAAGTTCACCCCTGACAGGGCTCGAGCAGAGTCCCCTCTGGCTTTGGAGGAACAACCCTAACAAGTGGCAGAAGAACCTAGATCTGTGGTGTTCTCTAATGAGCCACCTCCATTTTGTTAAAATGTATGCATTGTAAACAGGGTGGCAAGATTGGCTGCATCTCTCCGTGTGACTGTATAAAATGGGACTTACAGAATAAAACTGTCTGTGCATGCCGGTGTTACTGGAATTACTTGGATCTGCAACTATTAGTCATCCAATATTTGCTGAAACAAAGGAGCAAGGGGAAAAGTGATACAATTTCCTCTTGCTTCTTGTGGGCAGTGGACTGGGCTTCAATTACAAAGTGACACACATGTTGCTGTTATGTTTGGGTTAATCTTTCTGCCACTGCTGTATATACTTTCTGATATTCTGAGATGATCACATCTAATTGAATAGCTGAATTACAGGATAAATGTTTGTTCCTTCTGGATTAAAGGCAGTAGTTCACATCTTGAATTTCCAAGGCTTTTGGATCAGGAAGGGTCCACAATCTGAATCATGACATGACTCTGGTTTTATACATGTAATACTCCATTAAATAAAGAATTCTGCTTTAAAAAGAGGGTATCGTGTAGCCTGCTGACTTTTATTTAGAAAAAGTATTCCAACACGACTGCAATCTTTCTTGCTAGATTGATCTTCGTGATGACCCAAAAACTCTGGCAAGACTGAATGATATGAAAGAGAAGCCCATATCTGTGGAGCAAGGACAGAAGTTAGCGAAAGAGGTAAACTGAATACTCCTAAATGAAACCAAGTAGCAAAGAAGCAAAAAAACCTATTTCCGATTGACATTTTCTTCCTCTACCACTTTGCCCACTTCTTTTACCAGTCAACGTAAGAAACCCTATGACTGGTTACCAGTTAACAATATTTACTTACATTGTTGAATGCTGCTAACAAGCAGATCTGTGTAAGAGCACTTCACTGTTAATAATAGTAATGACTTTCTGTGTAGACACGTAAAAACTACATAAGCATTAGTCAATTAAAATCACAGAGTGGTTGGGGTTGGAAGGGGCCTCCCCTGCTCAAGTAAAATGCTGGAAGCATCTTTAAGAAATTATTTGAGAATGCTATACTACCATTTAAACATACTGCACAGATAATGCTTACCAGGGCACTCGTTAGTCTTATTTTTAAAACAAATTGGTCATGTAATTCTGAAATTCTTTTTTGCTGTTTAGTTATCAAAAATACCTTAGGACCCCACTGTCAATCTGAAGAGCTTATTTAATAAGCTTCCTTTATAAACCAAACCAAGTTAAATGCATTCCAGATCTTTGGCCAAAAGAGAAATCTTATTTTCTCCTACAGGGGGAAGCACATTCAGATAACTTTCCTAGATCACAGCCAAACATTGTGGTGTCACTACAGAAGAAGAAAAAAAAAAAAAAAAGCAGAAGTGCATGGATAGAACTGAACATTTGAAATATATTGCTCTTGAATTAACTTCTTTTCTTGACAGATAGGAGCCTACTGCTATGTGGAGTGTTCAGCTTTAACACAGAAAGGACTGAAGACCGTTTTTGATGAAGCTATTATAGCCATTCTAACTCCAAAGAAACACACAGTGAAGAAGAGAATAGGCTCAAGATGCATAAACTGCTGTTTGATCACGTGAGATACATTTGACAATGGCCAGGCTTACTGTGAAATTCTACTGAATTTAAATACAATGCATTAAGTACACAGCGAACTTGTTGCAGGTTTGAAGGCTAAAACTATGATTCTGCCTTCTACAACCAGTGAAATCCAGAAGAATAAAATCAAACTCAACGCACTTGTAATAAGAAGCCACCGCACCTGTTACAAATATTTTATTCAGACTGGAAGGTACAATCTCTCAGGGTTACATAGTCTAGAGGAAGCAAAAACTGCACCAAGTTGATTGAAACGGCATCTATGTGATTTTATTGAGTGGAGATGCTTGGCCTGAAATACTCTAAATGAATTTGGATAGTCTTCTGCTTTGACTATACATATACATATATATATATATATATCTCCCTTATAAAAACAACTACTTTTGCACAGTCTGTATGGAATCTGCACAAAGAAATACCTTGTCTCTCTTCGCTCCAGTTATCTGCTTTTGTATGTAAGCTGCTTCCGGTTCCAGTGTATCCACAGAGGTGCAATAATCAGACCAGCCGTATAGCCAAAGGTAGCTCCCAGGGAACAGGAAATGGGCCAGACCTGAGGGGAGAACACAAGGTAAAAGCAGACAATGAGGATAACGTTTGTGGTTTTTTGTACTTTGTGAGCACAAATTCTCAGTGTAATCTAGGTACTGAAAGACAGTATAGTCTTATATTCTACTTTAAAGCTTGACATGCTTTCCTAAAAATGCCAAAAGTGTAACAATCATCTTCATGAACACTAAATGCTGTTGTACAGTTTTTAATTAATATGCATTAAAATTTAACCAGGCTTCTGGCTACTGCAGACTTTAGTTTGATATTCACAAAACTATGTAGAGAATTTACCAGTATTTATATCCCCTGATGTGTTCAGCTAACCTAACCTCCTGTTCTGCTGCACCCATTTGGAAACCTACAGGTTTCTTAGCGGTTTCACCTTCCAATCTCTCATGGTGTTACGAAACTTTTAGAGATGTGTATAAATGAACTCATATTCAAATAAGGCTGGACACTGAGATGGATACAGGGTTTTTGTTTCTTTTGATCTTGAAAAGTAGGCAAAGGGATTAATTTCCCTGTGGTTAGCATTAGGAAGGGAACACAGATTTGGAAACTGGACATCTTGCATCCAGTTCAGCAAATATGTAGTAAACCAGTTATGTTAAAGAGAGCTTTAATTATAAACTCTATTTCCTAGTATAAGAACAGGAAACCGACTCAACACAGCTGACTCACTTGCACAAACCATCTAGTACTGAGGCAAAGTAGTAATGGGATTCCCCCTCAGCCCCTCTTCTTTTTTTTTTTTTTTTTTTTTTCAATTGGTATTGATTTACAGAGAGGAGTGGCCAAAACAAAACTTAATCAGTTTGTCCTCAGATGTAGCTTATATTACCAGTCAGCTACATACTGCATTTCATGAAAGTCTCAACTTAAGTTGGTGACTAAAAATATTTATTGTAGAATAAACTGAATTCCCATCCCTTTTCAAAATTCCCCTTTGCATATTTTCTTTTTGCAAGGAGAACTTTGCATTTCCTGCTGTACAGTGTATGTTCCTGAAGCAAGTACAGACTGCACTCTCCTATTTTTTTTAATTTTTAAATTAAGGGGGATATTTCCACCTTCTAAAGTACTTGAGACTGAGAAATGCACTAGACATTAAAGCAAATATCCACATCTCAGTGTCCAGCCTTCTTTTCTACTTCATTTTGACTTGCATTTCATGAATATCAAATGAACTTACTTTTAATGGTACTGGTTCCTCTTTTCATTCATTTTCCTAGCTCTCATTCTTCTCTTTAGTTCATCATCACTTATATCACAATATATTTATTCATATCCTTTGATCATGGGAATTTTAACTAGGAATGAAAGTAACGTATTTTGTCCTCTGCTGTTTCGTCTTCACAGTCTCCTCAGCTGTTTCATCTTCACATTCCTTAGCATTTGCAGTTTTACATGATTATTTGGAGGTCTTAAGGAGTGTAGCAAAGATGACTATAAACAAGGTGCCTTAGGTACTCTTTATTGACCTTGTTTTATTCTTCCATTTCTGGACATTCTGTCTCTGCTACTTGTTTCTGTTGCTAAATATTTTAGCTGTTGCCTCTCAAACCAAAGACTTGCTTGTTTTCATTCATTTAACAGCAGTATTGTAGATCTTCTATAAAAAGCCTTGAGATGCTTTGGTGTGGTAAGATATTATGTATATTTAAAACTCACATGAGTTTGTGGCCTTGGCTAAACTTAACGCTTCAGGTAGATCTTTTCAACTTTTAAAAGAAATGTAATCAAGTTATTTCTAGCATTTTGCAGGCTATTACACATGTCTAAAGGACAAAACAGTAAGTCCCTGCAACCTCAGCTGCTCACTCAGTAACATTCAGCTGGAACAGGAGTAAGACTTTTTTATCCACTGATGAAGTCAAATACCACTCTTAATATCCACAAAACTACGGACAGAGGCTTTATAACTCAGTGGTCTTTTTACATCAGATTCTCAGAGTGATCAATGATCCTTCATTAAATTTTACCTACATTAGGTGAATCTGTAGTTGCCTATTTGCTTTTTGGAAGTATAGGTACATGTTGGATTCTGAATTTTTTATGTTCCCTTAACTAGACAGTCAATATCCCTGATGACCTATCGACCCTGTATCTTTTGGTATTTTGCGTATAGCGGGCGATTGTTGGTACGATTAAAAGGATCTCTGATGATTGTTGTAGCTTCTTTTACCTGACTGAACTGCAACTCAGAACATGGGTTTTCAATAGTTATGTAACTTTTAATATTAATCATGCCTCTGTCTGCCTTCTAAAACATTTATTTTTTGCTTTGCTTTTTGAAAAGCAGTGTTACCTCACAAAAGTTTCACGCTGTCTCACTTAACGCATGAGTGTCTGACCTTTAAAATCCAACCCTCACCAATGGCAGCTGGCAAAGATAGGGGGCAAAGGGAAGAAACCATATAACACTCTCATCTCACTGACTATGAGACAGAAAAGAAACACCACTCCACCCCTTCTAGTGGCATAGAACAGAAAGGTACTAGGCCAGGTACTCATTCTTATTATGCTGGTCAGATGGCCCAAAGTAGTTCTGAAGGCAGTTTGATTGGCCTTTTGAAAACTCCCTAAGCCCAAGAGTTAAAAGCCTGGAGTTAAGAGCATTGCTGTCCTTATGCTATTTTCTCTAGCCCTCAAGGCAGGGCGAAAAAAACTCAACAAACAGGTAATGCTACTAGTTCTGCACCTTTTATTCTTGACTGCTGGCCTTTAGGCTACATATAGCCAGATGCACCCATGGGTGTATCTAAAGCAGCAAATTATCAAAGACAGATTAAGATGTGGCTCTTAAGCACATCAGCTGCATTAGAATACCAGCCCTTGCGTATGCTTTTTGTCCATCTATGAAAGTGGGTTGCTTTATTTTGCATTAGTTGCTGGCTTCGTTTTTCTGAGACCCCATTACTTTCTGCTGGACCGTTTTAAATGAATTAGACTAGCTTGATTGGTCTGCTTTTGCCCTGTCTTTCATATTAGCTCTTAAACTCAGTTTAGCTTGGTACAAGCTGCCCCTAAGTGATAAAAAATCTAAGCAGCTAATATCCGCCTGCCTAAGAGATTCCATTCCGCTTGTTTAAAGTATGTAACTTGTAATACACCCCTCTCATTCCCTGAGAACAATTCAGCTCAGTTTCTTTTACTTTATGCTTCCTTCTGCTGTGAGGAAGCTGACATATCCTACCTCAGTACTGATGCCATGTCTAGGCTGCATCAGCAGCAGGGGAATAAGATGTTTGGCAATGTCACCTAACTGCACTTCTTTTGAGGGGGAAGGAGGTTAATCTGGAGAGAAAACTATGGGGAGCGCAGCAGACAGGACAGAACATTCTTCAGGAAACTATCATGAAATGCCTTGTTTGTCCCAGCAGCTGGGAAGCATCAGCTACCATCCCCACAGCCTGATACAAGAACACTCAGTTTACATATCAAATGCATGTGGAAAAGGGCAATTGTAACAACCTCTGTACAATTACTAGGAATCTCAACAGCAGCTTGGCAAAACCAAATCTCCACCTACATGCTTAACAAGCAAAAAAATGCATTTTAAGGGACAGAGCATGAGCCAGTGGTTAATGCAAAACGATCCTGACTTCTGCTATTTGTTTAAATTTTTTTTTGCCCTTTTTTTTTATCATCTGGCAGCAGTGATAAGACTTAACAGATTTCTTCGGGCTAGCTGAATAGACACTGCAGAACTGCAAGCTTTCTAGTACATATTAGAATTTGTTTTAAGAATAAGGACTCAAAATAGGAATTGCCAGCCTTTAAGGACACAAATGAGCTAGCTTCCTCAGCACTCTTTAGAACACCTATAAACTGATGTGAGAATGCTTAGCATATTGCATGGAAAGCAGAGCATGTTGCAGGATCCCAACAAGGTATCTAGCTCTGCCATACTATGCACGTAGCTAATTAAACCAGAATGCTGACTGCATGACAGTTTTGTCATCTATTACAAGTCTGTAACTTGCATCCCATGCAATGGCAACTATGTGGACATTGATAAGGACTTAAAGGCCAGACTATTATAGGCCAGAGCAGCAACACCCTAATAAAGTTTTTAAAGATACTATAAAGTAAGCTGCTGACTGCTGAAACTTTAATTATATAAATACAAATACAGTGGGGCAATTTACTGTTGTACTTACTTTTTTTTTTTCAGTAAGCTGGTCTCATCCTATGTATGAGTGCTTTTCTCATATTCCTAAACTCGATTTTTGTATGCTTACTATTTCAAAAGATCTATTTCTGACTGTCAATTAGAAAGCTATGTAATAATTTTTGTTTCATTTAAAAATTGAATAAATGAGCACAATTACTTTCCCTCCCTGTTTCTAACATGCCTTAAATTCCTGATTGTTTAGTCTGTACTGTCTTAAAAAATTCAGTACATGACTTTAATCTATTTTGGTTGCATGCACATGTTAACTAAAAGTGTCTTATCACAGTGTACAGAATGTGTGTGTTGAAAAGCACACGCTGAGGAGAAGAAAGTATGAGGGTTTTTTTCAGGCTGTCATTTGTAACTAGAAGTTGGTTTTGTGGATTTGCATTCTAAAGTTATAGCAAGCATAACTGCCTTCGATCTCATCATTAAGGTTTACATTAAGAAAACATATCATTAAATAAACTGATAACCCCACTAAAGCAGAACAAGCTTCTACCTCTCTTTTAAAAAAACCTCAAACACTGGATATTATCTCTCCTACTCACATAAAGCTGCTTCTTTTACAACAAAACTTTCACAGTAGGTAGTAGATCCAAATCCATAAAGAAGAATGAAACTTTCTGAGCTATGTTAAGAATAACAAAGTAGTGTGAAAGTTTATAGTCCTATTTCAGCTTACTAGAGTAACCACCAAGAACTGTACCCAAAATTCTCCAGATTGTTCTTCAGGTTACAAATGTTTCAAAAGTATCTAGGCTAATATTTATGGTCATATTGGCTAAATTATACGGCAGTCAATCAACTCATGGGAGTTATAT